ATAGGAATTCCACACCCCTGCACCCTCCAGGTAAGTTTCCTCTACTTTTATTCAGTACTGTATATGGCCCAGTATTAGTTCTCTTTTAGAATAGACTAGAACCACACATTGCAGAGATGTCTTGCTGCGGCATGTGGCTCTACATATAAATGCAAACATATTCAATGAAAACTTCAGTTTTTAATAAAAGCTAGAAACAGATTTTAATTAGATCCTGTTTGGTGGCTAACATGGATAAGTATGAGTCATTACTGTATTGTGGTGCTGAAAACTTCAACTAATATCACATTATGAATAGCGATGAGCCGCTGCAGATCAAATATCCCCATTTTGAAGCCTTATATGCAATTTATTGGCCATAAAAAGTGTATGGGGATTCAGGTACTGCCCTGGGGGACAGGAATCATTTTTTTATTTTTAAATACCGTTTTTAAAGGAGCAGTGATTTTAACATTGCTATCACAGGCAATAGTTAATTTACTAACTCTACATCTACATCAACCTACATCTTATGCTAATACTTCAGTAGTACATATACCTCCCAGTCAAGCCTCTTCCTCCTGTCCTGGGCCCTACATGCTTCACGCTGCTCCCCTCACCTTGTTCCGGGCGCAGCGTGAAGTATCATCCAGCCAGCGCAGCAGCCAATGAGTGGGAGCAGTGCTATCCCCGCCCCCTCATCACACAGAACTGCTGCCGAATAGAAAGCTGCTGCGGACACGAAGGGGGAGCTGGAACTATGGTGACATGGGGACCGGGAGTGGAAAGCTGGGGATGTGAAAGGGGGAGATGAGGGGAAGCTGAGGACATGGATTCTTGCATCGTGGCCCTGAGGTCACTAGTTACGCCTCTGGCTTTGGCCTTTGTCCCAATGCACATACTTTTGTGTTGACTACCTGGATTGTTGGTCTAATGTTTTTCACCTGTTTCTTATTATGCATTATTGGTTGTCCTCCACTATGTAAATTGAGCTCCACCATTCCTTCAGGTAGCAGTTACCTTTTGTGTTGTTTTTCCTGTCCTGGTCTGAAACACCAGGTTCATTCTCTGAGTCTTTCTTTGGTGATAGCAAAATGTCCATAGCTGGCCATACACAGTATGAATTTCACCTGGTTCTTGATAAAACGGATGAAATTTTTCAGTGGGCGGCCCCTTTAATAACCCTTCAGTCTGGCAATCTTCGATGAGAAAATTGAAGGAACTGAATGCAAAATTTCCGGGCAAACAATGATGGCAGTCAATCGGCTGCTGTCACAGTTGGGGTATTTTAACAGCAGCATGCCTGCAGCTGTCATAATGCAACAGCCAGGGAGATTTGTCCATCTACACTGTTTTGCATTGACGGATAAATCACTTATATTTTTTTCATTCAACCCTCAGGTTGAACGAAAAAAATATAACAAAGTTTGGCCAGCTTAACAATTACTACAGTACTGTGTCCCTCAATGGTCGATAAAGAAAATAATATTTTTGTACTTGCTGACATGTATGAATGAAATTTGTGAATTAAAGTGACTCTTGCAATCACATCTAACAATACTTGTACATAGAGGTCACTGAGTGCGCTCTCATATAACAGCCCTCTAACAATGCCCAGATAGCAGCTGTGAAAACCCTGGTTAGCTATCTCTATTGGCTATTTTAGTATACAGTACAAGCATAGCCTGAACCCTCATTGTACAGTACACTAAACAGTACAACTTACACCTGCAACCTGTCTCCAGTGCTAGCAAGGCATCACCTGGTACAGCATCCTGTCTCAGTAATGCACAATATTTAAAATTAGATCTGTGACTTATACCTGCCCTGGGAGTCCAGAGAGTTTATTTCCTGAATTTGTATTGTAATTTGTATTGTATGGGTTGATGAATTGAAGGCATTTAGTATATTGGAGGTTCCATCATACATATCTAAATGGTGTAAAGTAAACATTATGTTCATGGAGTACTAAAGCATTCCCCAACATTATCATTGAAAAACATGATTTGTTGGGATGTGGATTTCCCGGAACAAAACCCCCTGATTACACTTGAGTACACTTAGGCCCCATGCACATGGGAGAAACACAGAAGACGTTATCTGGGAAGTGTAAACAACATGAATGCTTCCTAGATTACTTTTTTTTGTGTTTAGTTATTCCTGGGTTTAGATGCATTTACATGCGGTCAGGCGCGTTTCACGAGTACTTGTACTCAGGAAAATGCCCTGATACTAAAGGCTGATACCGCCCCTTTACATTTTTAAACACGTTCGACTGCCTGAGGTCCTGTGCGTGCAGGCAGCCTGCTAGGGACCTTGCTGTAGCTGTCTTAGACAGCGCCGGTCCAGCCCCACGCCTCCTTCCCGATGCCCGTAGAGACTGGGAGGCTGCTGCACAAAAAGTTGATCATCAACAGATCAAGAAATTGACAAATTCCATGGATGGAAGGCTTATGACTGTTATTGAAAAGAAGGGGGCTATATTGATCACTGATTTTGTTTTTGGGAAATGTCAAAAAAATGTATTTGTAAATTTTGAGTTGTTTGTTTATTATTCTCACTTTAACAGATAAAAACAAACAAGTGAGATGGGAACATTTCATTTTTCCATTTAATTCTGCACACTAATAGTTTCCCAATAATTGTGCACACATATTCTCCCAAGAAAGCCAAAACTTAACTTTTACCTTTCTTGAATATTCAGGTTTGAGGTCTATTAACATTTTGGATTGCCCGAGAGCACTGTAGTTGTTCAATAATGAAATGAATCCTCAAAAATACAACTTGCCTAATAATTGTGCACAGTCTAGATCTTATTAGGAATGTTCAGGAGACTACTTGGTATTATTGGCCCTACTTCACACTAATAATGCACCTACAAATGAATAAGTGGATAAGAAGATAATAAAACCCATATGCTACTGAAAATCACTAAGGTCCCATTCACACCTCAGTGTTTTGCAGCTCCAAAGCCAGGAGGAATGCCATTAGTTTCAAGCCCCAGTTCATATCTGACCTTTTAGCTCGAAAAAGTACACAAGCTTCTTTTGGAGAAGAGTCAAGTGTTTTGACACCAGTAGACTTCAAGGGGAGCTACTGAAAAATGCACAAAAATGTGCACAAATGCATGTAACACAATCGTTCAAGCATTTATGACTAGTAACTAGATAGCATGTGGTGTGGGAGATGTCTATGGTGATGTACATGCTGTTCATTGTTCTCTTGGATTTACCTTTTTGGAACCTGTTTGGATTACATCAGTAAACTTCTGGATTGCACTTATTCTAGTTTTGTGTGGCTGATCTTTTGAAGATTCATTTGAACAAGTGGGAAGCACACTATAGCCTGCATCCAGAATATGATACAAAACACAAAAATTCCCCAGCCTCAACCTGCCAGCCAGCCTGCAACCAAACAAGTAGCCCTGTCAACAGTATGCGTTAAAATCAGAGGTTTAGTTGCACAAACTTTTGGCCAAAAATATGTAGAAGCCACACCGCCGCGCCAAGGCACCTCTGCAAAGTGTGGTCCTAACTTTATGTATCCGAGTCTCCAAGTGTGAGCATATTAATGAAGTTGATAAATTACATGCAGGTGTACCTGGAGGTGGCCTACTCCTCCTAATAAGGTGCAGGGACGCACTGGAGGCCCAGCAACCAAAAATGCAAACCAAAAATGCAAAATGAATCCAGAATATGGACTGACTGCAGCATACGTTAGAATGGAGCGGTGAGTCTATGGTGCTTCTTGAATACATATAGACACCCTAATGTTTTACATGCTGTATTTCCCTCCATTTCTGAAGCATGTTGACAGGGCTGTGGTGAAAGAGGCACACTAACTCATGTTTGGTGCGCTTTTACACCAAACAGTTCTGGGGAACTATTTTATCGCTCTGCAACCAAGTAATGGGCACCCAGGCTCTGAATACTCCTAGAGTTACCCTTTTGTCCATGTTGTCTGGGTCCATTAAGTCTAAAAAGAAAGATGTGATCTGTCATTCCCTTACTGCCACTAAAACACTTATACCCCACTAGTGGCGCACGACCTGGGTTCCCTCTCTGTCTGAATGGGTCTCAGAATTAGACAATATTATGCTTATGGAGCATAATAGTGATGCTCCATAATGAGTCTAGGGATTTTTTTTTTTACCATGTTGGATATATTACACCTGTTCTTGTCTATGTCCTTGTACCTTGAGGTACATCTCTGCTGTTTTTTGGGG